TTCACTGAATGACCATTTTTTCCCCTGAAGGATTATACTCAGTTTTGCTGGGTAGGTCATTCTTGGTTGTAATCCTATCTCCTTTGCCCTCCAGAATATTATATTCCATGCCCTGCAGTCACTTAATGTAGAAGCTGCTAAATCTTGTGTTATCCTGATTGTGTTTCCACCATACTTGAATTGTTTCTCTCTGGCTACTTGCAATATTTTCTCCTTGACCTGGGAACTCTGGAATTTGGCTATAATATTCCTAGGAGTTTTCCTTTGGTGATGAGAGGTATAATTCTCAATAAATGCCTTTACTTGGGTTGGAGATGGTTTGAGTCTGTAAATTCTTTCAAGACAAGCCCACAGCACACTAAGAAACTACAACAGGATCTGCACAAAAAGTGTCTGCAGACAAAGTACACCAATTATCTAGGAGTTCCTGTAACATAGATGATCCCCATAAAGGCCCAGGCAATTTCCTCTGGACATTCCAAAGGGCACCTGAAATTCCCCAATGGATTGTCACTGCCAGGGCCAACCAAATGGAATTGCAAACTCGCCCATCAGGACAAGAAGTTGCCAAGTACAGTTGCCAAAGTGATTTTCCTTAAGTGCAAATCTGACCATATCACTCCTTTACTTAGACTCTGTAAACTAACTGTTGCTTATAGAGTAAAAAATAAAGTTCTTCATAATCTGACCTCAAATTGTTCTAGCCTTTATTTGTATCACTTACTTTCTTACACTTCAGGAAGCCAAACTGGCTTCTTCTCTGTTCTTCTATCTCCTGACTACTTGATTTTGCACTGGCTGTCACCCATACCAGATATGCAGTCCTTCCTCCCTTCCACCTGATATAATCTGTCTTGAGGTGGGGGGAGGGATGAGATGGGGAGAAAATTTGGAACTCAAGATCTTGTGGAAGTGAATGTTGAAAACTAAAAATAAATAAATAGAGAAAAAAACCCCACAACAAAGGTAGCCTGGTTGACCATTCCCCACTGTAGAAAGGATTTTGGCTTACAGACTAGATGATCAATTCTGAGAATCTATGAATCATCAGTAAATATTCAAATGCTGATCTGAACAAATAGTTATTTGCCAGCCAGTAGCTGGCTATACGCAAGTGTAGCCAAACCTGGCTAACTACTCTTAAGGGTCCTTGCTAGCTTGCGTGCATTAGTCATATTTTTGCTAATTATAACTGTCAGAGATCACTTTTCTGACCTGCCCATTTGTAGCTTGGCTGTATTATTCAATTTATTTCTGCCATGACAATAGCTTTAGAACCCAGCTAGGTTTTCTTGTCATCTTATTCACATTAGGGTAAATTCAGTTCACTGTCCTCTCCCCTTCTATTGCTAGTTTCCACAACTTCTCCCTCTATGTTAATCGATAAGGAAATAAGCCCCAAAGGGATGCACTTGATCAAGCTCCCACAGGGAGTTTATGGCCACATCAGGATTAGAACGTAGGTCTCTTGACTTCCTGTTGAGTGTTCCTTCCATCACCCCACATAGATTAACACAGTGCAGACCCCAGTAAAGATCTTTCTTCACCTGCTCCCTGCCCTGCCCCTGCAGCAGCTGCCCATTTCCAGGATCCCTAAGGGAAGAGGGGAGCCAAACCACAGGAATTAGGGGCTGTGAGAATGAGGAAAGGGAGATGAGCTGGGGTTACCCTTACTTTAAATACTATCCTCGAAGACTTCTTTACATCACAGGACCCCTTCCCCTTTCCTAGCTCTTCTCCTTCCTAACTAACAATGCCAGTTTCCTAATTTTCCCCAAAGCTTACTTGAACTCAAAATTCTCCTTTCTAATCAACCCACCTCCTGATTTGGTCCTAATGCATAGCAAAGGAATTCTTCTCTTCTACCTTTTAGATCTCCTATAGCTCCTAACAAGCTGCTATACACATCTGTACAATAGATTCCTGACAATGTGCTCTGAAGTCAATGTCTTTGAGGTTTTTATCCTTTTTAACCTACCTGACACATGACAATGAACGCAGTCCCTTTTGGGGGAAAGATTTATATAAAGCCCTCAAGATCTACAATTTTTTTACAACCTTTATTAAAGATTCCATACCAAGATCTTTTGACTTTAATCTGTGTACCACAACTGACCATCTAACAATTCCTTCAGTTCTTTAATACACTCACCATCAAGTTCTTTGCACTGATAAACATCTATTGGCAACATTACCAACAGAATACAGCAGGAAGAGATGGAAAGAAAAATTCCATTTAAATAACTGTAGACAGTATAAAATACTTGGGAGTCTACCTGCCAAGACACTCAGGAACTATATGAACACAATTACAAAGAAACCTTTTTGTACAAAATCAGATCTGAACTGCAAAAATATTAATTGCTCATGGGTAGATCAAGCCAATTTAACAAAAATGACAATTCTACCTAAATTAATTTACACATCAAACTACCAAAGAATTATGTCATAGAGCAAGAAAAACATAATAACAAAAGTGATCTGGAAGATTAAAAGGTCAAGAATATCAAGGGAATCAATGAAAAAAAAAGTGGAGGAAAGTGGCCTAGCAGTACCAGATTTCAAACTGTACTATAAAGCAATAATCATCAAAACAATCTGGTGCTGGATAAGAAACAGAGTAGTTGATCAGTGGAACAGATTGGGTATACAATATATAGAAGTAAATGATTGTGGTGATCTAGTATTTGATAAATCTAAAGACCTAAGCTTTTGGGGCAAGAACTCACTGTTCAACAAAAACTGGAAAGCAGTCTGGAAGACACTAGGGATAGACCAACGCCTAACAATGTATAACAAAAAAGAAGTGATATTATAAGCAAATTAGGAGAGTATGGGAAAAAATACTTGTCTGATCTATGGATAAGGAAAGAGTTTATGACCAAACAAGAGATAGAGAGGATCACAGGAGGCAAAATGGATAATTTTGATCACATTAAATTAAAAAAGCTTTTGCACAAACAAAACCAATGCAGCCAAAACTAGAAGGAAGGCAGAAAACTGGGGGGAAATTTCTTAACAAGTTTCCGATAAAGGTCTCATTTCTTAAGTATGTAAAGAACTGAGCTACATTTATAAAATGAACTACTCCCCAATTGCTAAATGGTCAAATGATATGAAAATGCAGTTTTCAGAAGAAATCACAGATAGTATATATTATATTAATATATAACATATATATATATGTGTCACATGAATAAATGCTCTATATCACTATCAGAAAACTGCATCAATACTCATTCACTGAGTTAATTACTACTTTAATTGCTACTTGTGACAACTGTGAAAGACTTTGCAACTCTGATCAATATTTGATCAATTCTAAAGGACACATGATAAAAAATTCTATCCACTTCCTGAGAAAGAACTGATGAATTCTGAGTGAAGTATATTTTCACTTTTATTTTCTTGTCTTATTTTGCAACATACTTGATATGGAAATGTTTGGATTACTTCATACATAAAATGGGTATCATATTGCTAGCCTTTTCAATAGAAGGCCTAATGAGAGACAGAGAATTTGGAAATTAAAAAAAAATAAAGGATGTTAGAAAAAAGTCCCATATATTGGCATCCAGTACAGCTGGCTTCAGACCTCAGTTCACAGCTTTACCCTGGACTTCTTCCCTATCAAAGGTCTTTCCCACAGCAGGTGTGCCTCTTCTCCTCTTCAAATAATGGAGCGGGCTTAGGGGGCAAAATGGTGTGGAAAGTGTGCTGGAACTGGGGTCAACAGACCTGGGCTCAATTTATAGCTCTTATACTTACAAGCTATATAGGTAAGTCACTTCCCAATTCAAAACATCTATCAATTTCCTCATCTGCAAAATGAGGCTAACACTACCTATCTCATACAGTTATGGTGAAAAACAAAACAAAACAAAACAACACAAACCACCTTTAACTGTAATATAATGTGAATTCTCGGCAGGTGTGTTGTGGAGACTAGCTTGAACTGATTCCAGGAAGCTGACTGTTGGTATAAATTAGCAAATGCTATGTGTCAAGACCTGATTTATTGTTTTGTCTAGACTTTAAAGAGTGATAGAGAAAATGTTAAATCTTGAAAAGTGTGTTGTCTATACCGCCGCGCCCCCCCCCCCCCGCCCCCGTGAGCTGGTCGTTAGATATTTACCAGCACATCCCTGATTCTTAGTCTTTAGGATACACTGAGATTTGTCTCCTGCTCACCTGCTCACTTCTTCATGGAGCCCCTTTGGGGGAGGCAGCATGTAAAGGAAAAAAACATTGGCTTGGTAATCATACCTTAGGTTTTATTCCCGAGTCTACTCTTTTCCAACTGTAGAAACTTGGTAAATCAATGATTTTATTTGAACTTCAGCTACCTTATGTTTAAGGAGGATGGATCAAACAATCTCTAGGGGCCTCCTTTCCAGCATTTACATTCTGATTCAATGCTTATATGACTCCTCTGTTCCTACCACTCTCCATTACCATCCCTAAGTCAAAGAATTGAGTCCCTATGCTCTTCGTCTATGCTCACTCATTCATTAAGCTAATTACTACTTTAATTGCTACTTGTACAATGATGAATGACTCACCATTCCAGCACTGCCTTCTCATTTCCTCTCTCTCTACAGTGACCTATAGAACAACTATTTGAAAATCCTCTGACCCAAGAAATTTCAGATGTCACCATCTCCCCCAACATATGTCACTCATTCCAAATTTCCCTTTCATTTTCCTGATCATGGGGAGAAAAGAATTCTCTGGGAAAAGTTGGCAAAAGCAAAGGTCATATTATTCCACACAATTCATAACATTTTCAGGTGGAGGAGAGGTTGAAAATGAGATGAAACACTCCTTTTTACCATGAACTTAGTTCTCAGATTAAGTTTCACAGGCTGTCACTGAAGGCTATATAATTAACCATTTTAATAATTTTTAACCAATGAGTATACATCAATTCTGATTGAATGTAGCACAGTGACAGATGTGACCCCAATCAGATTAGAAAATTTAGACACTGCACTCAAAGATCTTCTTTTTCCAATTTATTATGGAATTGACAAAAAATGAGCTCTTTGAGCCACAACGTTTTCCTCTGCTATACATCATATTCATAAATTGACTTGAGTGTGATTTCTCTCATGTTTAATAAGAAATGATGGACGAAGAATGGCTTTCCCACATAGGTGGCATTCAGGTGGCTTTTGTCTAGCATAAATTTTTTGATGTCTGATAAGGTGAGAGTTTCAATTAAAGAGCTTTCTACACCTACTACATTCATGTAGCTTATCCTCAGTATGTATTTTTTGATGTTCATTAAGGACTGAGCTTCCACTGTAATTTTTTCCACATTTATTACATTCAGATGGTTTCTGTTCAGTATGAGTTTTCTGATGCTGAATTAAGACTGAATGGTGACTAAAGGCCTTCCTACATTCCCTGAACTCATAAGACTTCTCTCCAGTATGAATTCTTTGATGTTGAACAAAACCTGTGATGTGACTGAGGGCTTTCCCACACTCATTACAGTCAAATGGTTTTTCACCAGTATGAATTTGACAATGTCCAATAAGAAGTGAGCTTCTACTGAAGGCTTTCTTACATTCATTACACTTAAAAGGTTTCTCTCCAGTATGAATTCTTTCATGTCTAATAAGATCAGAGTTCTGGCTGAAGCCCTTCCCACATTTATTACATTTATATGGTTTCTCCCCAGTATGAATTCTTCGATGTTGAATAAGATGTGAACTGCTATTGAATGCTTTTCCACATTCTTTACATTCAAAGGGTTTTTCCCCAGTATGAAGTCTTGGATGTTTAATAAAATCTGAGCTTCGTTTGAATACTTTCCCACAGTAATTACATTCATATGGTTTCTCTCCAGTGTGAGTTATTTGGTGCTTTGTGGTATCTGCACAAAGGTTTTATGCAGATGAAGGTTTTCCCACAGTAATTGCATTCATAAGGCTTCTCTCTAATATGAATTCTCTGATGTTGAATAAGGGCTGAATGATGGGAAAAACTATGGCTAGACGATGGCCCCTTTCTCTTGTAAGAACCCTCTGATACATAATGAAGTCAGACTTCCAAAGGAAGTTTCTGTCAAATTCTTGACATTTACTGCTTCTCCTTCCACTTATTTTTTCTTGGAAGCCTTCTACTTGTCGAGAACTTCCCTGATGGAAGATTGATTTTTGTTCTCTGGTATTTCTCATCTCTAAATTGCCTTTATGGTCAAAGATTTCTAAACTTGGGACATGGGAAACATCTTTTGGGAAATTTTCTGATACCTTTCCACATAATTTTACATCTTCAAAAACTTCCTGGCTTGGAGTTAAGTTCCCATCATCAGATCTTTTTTTAGGACCTGGAATTAAGAATGCAAATATTTACTTCTTTTGAGAGGAATGGATGAAGTGACCTGCAAGAGAAGTAGAAAAATCAAACTGTAATGAATGCAGAGAAGGCAGGTTTAAAAGCTCTTGAAAAGCACTAGCAATCATTAAAAAGGATGTGGAGAGGAGTAGATATAACTAACATGGCTACAATATCTAGGAGAGAGGGCAAAGGGAAACTGAGAGTCCTTTAATGAGGGGTAACGTCCAGAATTCCCCTGACTGGGGAACTCTGTACATTCCCAAGGGCTGATATCCCCTTGCACTGGGATATTCTCAGCTTCCCCCAAAAAAGGAGTTAATTTTATACTGAAGAAAGACGCTGGGAGCTCCAGATTGATTATAGATAGTAGATTAATCAATAGGATTACTTACATTAGGGGCCAGTCTGGGGTGGCTGCCAGACAAAACAATCTCAATAATGGATCGATCCCCGAAAAGACCCCAGGAAAGCCCAGTGATAATTATAGGAAACAAAGGGAGGAAGAGCTATAGAGTATATCGCTACTCACTGGTGGATATTTTCAGTTTTCTGCTTAGTAATGAGCTCATTTCTCAGCTTGGGTATTTTATGTCAATGTTATTGAATAAATGCCCAAACACAGGGTTGTATACTGATTTTGTACTGGCATGAACTGGTCACTGTATCCATGTTATGGTTATTACTTGGTCACATTATCTGAGTTATGACTAAGTATCTGAGTTATGATTTTCACTGGTTACCACCATATCTTGGTTTCCATGGTCACAGTGTTTAAGTTATAGCTTTCCCTTCTTACTATGTTTTATGGCTTTTTCTCCAATAGGGACCTCACATGAGGGTATGAAGTTGACATTCCCTAGGGAATATGTGAAGTAGAGGAGGAAGTGAGGAATATGAAAGTCAAGAATAATCTGGGAGGTAGTATATACAGGAAAACAATTTGAGCAAAGGAAGAAATGAAATATAATGGAATTTTTTTTTTTTAGGCAGTTGGGGTTAAGTGACTTGCCCAGGGTCACACAGCTAGTAAGTGTCAAGTGTTTGGTCTGAGACTAGATCTGAACTCAGGTCCTCCTGACTTCAGGGCCGGTGCTCTATCCACTGTGCCACCTAGCTGCCCCTATAATGGAATTTATGAAAGGAAGTTTGGGGCATGGATAATAAGAGGGACTGACAAGATAGTCTGTAAGAGTTGACATCAGGAGGTAATTTGGAGCAAGGACTGTAGTTGGTCAAATAGTGACCTCAAAAAAAGAAACTGGGAATTCTGGTTGAGCTATGCTGTGTTTACCCTGAGGCAGAAGTATGAAGCAAAACTGAATATTTTCTTTGTTTCTTTTTGCCTTTTGGTGAGGCAACTGGGGTTAAGAGACTTGCCCAGGGTCACACAGCTAGTATCAAGTGTCTGAGGCTGGATTTGAACTCAGGTCCTCCTGACTCCAAGGCTGGAGCTCCATCTACTGCACCACCTGGCTGTCCCCAAAACTGAATAGTTTCAATTATATAATGACATAACAAATGTTTGTTTTGTTCTTCTGACTCAATAATATGGCTGGTTCTCACCACTTACCTCTATAAGCATCTCTTGAACTCTCTCTTTCCTCAGATCCCTGCATATCCTGGACCCATGGCTCTCCGACTTGTTCCAGCTGAGAAATAACATTAGGTTTGGAGAGTAGAAATCCTGATCATGGAGAAGGAAATGGAATGTGCTTATCTGTCTTAGAAACCAGAACTTTCTCAGAGCTTAGTGCTAGCTCCAAGGTCTGTAAGGGACAGATGGGGGAACATGGAAAAGGTTATTGATAACATGATAGAAAGTTCCAGAGAAAGAAACAGATCCATCTGGCATGGTGTTCCTGAAAATGTTTCCAGAAGGGAGGTAGTTCAGGAATGGCTAACATTTTGAGTCATAAGAGGAATAAGTCATTATGCAAGGAGGAAAAGTTTTCATATTTCTCTGACGTCCTGTAATTAATGAAATGTTTATCAAGCACCTAATGGGTACAGACTGAGACCTGTATGCTCTCTGAAAGAGGTTTCCAAATCTGTTCCAGAGGGAAGTAGTTTAAGAAAGGTCATTACAGTGAAGAATTTTTATCCAGGAAGACAAGGTTCCCATAATTCTCTATCATCACATCCTTACAGGGTCCCTTTGGGCTGGTTTCAGACGCCTCTCTTCCTCCTACATAAGCTACACAGTCACACCCTCAAAGTTCACCATCTCCTGAAACAACATATTTCTGCTGCCTCAGAGATGAACTCGACATGGAAATATGAATCTCATGTAAATTTAGATATGTTCCCTATCTACAGGAGATGCATGTTACTTGGTTACTAAGAGTAAATGTCTTAAAACATACCTTTGAGAACTAGAGTATAAATCTGACACTAAAGCTGGACCCGTCACTGTTTACAGTATTTTGAAGGATCCAGTACTGGGATTTAGAGATCTGAATCCACTCAGCTTCCCAGGATGCCTGTTCTCCCTTCTGGAGCCGGTTCAGGAATCTATGCCTTTGGTCTTATACTTTTACTATTTTCTAAATCTTCACTAACCATTGAACAACACCTTAGGTTACAATGTCTTCTCCATGTCCTAGCCCAAGTGCCTGCCTGTCTTCCTGAGTTCAGAGATCTGCTTTATGAAAACCTTAATTTTCAAGACATTCTTCTATTACGGCCAGTCTCTTGGATGCCCTGTTCTGGCATTCACTCTCCTTCACAGGCCTCAATTCAAATCAATTTCACAAGTATTTATTAAGCAACAGGAAGCATTAGGGATACAAAGACAAAAATGAAAAACTGTGCTTGCCTTGGGGAGTTTACATTCTACTGAGGAACACGACTTGTAGATAAGTAGACGATAAGTAGACAAAAAATAATTTGAGGAGGCAAAAAAAAAAGCTAACAACTAAGAAGACTGAGGAAAAGCTTCTTGTTCAAAATGACACTCAAGGTGACTAGTGAAGTTAGGGATTCTAAAAAGGTGGTGATTAGGAGGTGGAATAGGGGGACAGCCTGTGCAAAGGCACAGAAATAGGAAATAGTATGCCAGATTTGGGAAACAGCAAGTAGACCATTTTGACTAAAATAGAGTTTATGAAGGGGAATAATGTGAAATAAGGCTAGAGCCAGATTGTGTAGCGCTTTAAATGGCAAGTGCAGGGGTTTGTCTGTTATCCTAGAGATAATAGGAAGCCAGTGAAGATTTTTGAGCAGGGGAATGGCATGATTAGACTGTGCTTTAGGAAAAATATTTTCACAACTGTGTGAAAGATGGATTGGAGGGAAAAATGATTAGAAGGAGACCAATTAGCAATTTACTGCAACGGTCTAGGTGAAATGTGATGAGTAGTCATGTAAACAGAGAGATGTTATGGAGGTAGAACTGGCAAGATTTAATAGTTGATAGGATGTATGAAGTGTGTGGAATTTAAGGGAGAGGAAGAGCAGATGAACTTGAAGTTGTGAACCTCGGTGATTAGGGTGAAGCTAGTATACTTGAAACAGGAAGTTTGAAGGAGAAGCAGAACTGAGAAGTAAGGATCATACAGCTAGATTTCGTCAGAATACCTGGATTAAAATGCCAGCTCTGCCATTTACTACCTGTGTGACCTTGGACACAGCCCTTCCCCTTTCTGGGCCTTAATATACTTACTGATAAGGAGAGTAAGGAGGCTAAAGTGTCAAGAAAAGATAGATAAAGATAGATAGGGTCATAGTGGTTTGCTGAAACAGAAGCAGGTAGTAAGACAAACAAGGAGGTTTCTGAGAGGAAGCTTAGCTATGGAGAAGGCAAATGTTATGTTGATGATCCTTGAGGTAAAAGAACCAAAAGAACCTTCTGATAGTGATGTCCTAGAGGTGTCCAAAGAAAGGTTGATGGCAGGTAAAGCAGGCACTAACTTATGAGATGCTTATAGGGCCCTTGTTTCCCTGGAGCTTCCTGGGGATGATTAAAATCCATAAACTAAGAACATTATGGCAAAGGATTTCTTAGTCAAAACCTTAAAAGACTCATCCTTTAGGGGCACAGGACCAGGCAAAGTAGGATACTTTCATTTCTCAAGGGTATAGATGTGCTCCTGAGCAGATTATTTCTACTTTTGAGAAATAAGTTTTTTAAACAGACATTAACGATCTTTGACTTTTCTGTTTCTCTTTTCACTTTTGACTGATGTCTCTCCTTTCAGAAAGTCTCCAGTCACTTGCTTCTGATGCCTTGATAACTAAATGATAGATACTTCTTTCTCTTACTATTCAGACCAGGAAAGCCCAAGATCATACATGGAGGAGGTGTCAAAGGTCAAATATGCTTCTGACTCCAAACTACCTTGTCTCAAACCTGAGCGTCTTCCAGAATGGGGATAGGAGACATTTCTGAATTGAAAATTACCCTTCTCTCTGGATCTATAGGTCTGAATCGTCCGTTTCTTAAGATCAGTTCCGATTCCTGCGCACCAGGTCTCCAGGATTCCGGGGGTCATTCCAGATACAAAGATTAATCAAGACTCATTGGGCCATATCTAAAGCGATTTTTGGTTTTATCACGAACATTTTCCCCCATTGCACTGGGACGGCTCAGTCTCCACTCCCTTTTAATCTCCCCAGTATTATCAGGAGCAGCAGTAACACTTCCTCACTTGTGCACCTGGGGCAGGTGGTTCAAGTATAGAGACGACCGGGGCGGTTCGGTGAATTCCCCTAGGGTCACACAGTGTTTGTCCCCGGGTCACAGTGGGCGGAACGTGGAGATAAAACCTTCCTCCAGTTCCCTCGTCTGTCCAAACGGGAGCGGACATCAGGTGTCTAGAGTCAAAGGCAGGGGCAGGCTGACCTCAAGAGACCCTTCCCCCCTGTTCCCCAGGCCCCGGCCCCGCCCACCCGGGCCCTCCGGGGGAGGAGCTCCCGCTCCCCAGCGGATCGGGGGTGGGGGTGGGGCCGCCTGCAGACCTCCCCAGCCGCACCCCCGCCCGCGGCGGGAGCAGAGGCTACGGGGCACACAACGGCAAAGCTGGGGGCCGAGAGAGCTTTGGGGGACAAGGACACACACAATGACCCTATATCCTCATGCCCAGGGCTTCCAGCAGAGCCCTTGGCCGGAAATAGGCAGCGACCCCCGAAGCGGAACCACTCGAGGGTAAGGGACCGCTCTAGGAAAGCGGGAGGACTGGACTCTCTGGAATTGGATGTCTGGACCCGAGGGGCGGGACCGAGCTCCTGTACAACTTCCCCCCCTCCCCCCCAAGCTTTTGCTTGAAGCCTTCAGGGGAGAGGAGGGCCAACTCCCAAGGAAGCCGGTTCACTTTTGGACAATTATGAATGAATGAGTGAATGTTGTTGAATGAAGGAAAGACATTAATTAAGGGTGCTAGGCACCGTGCTAAACACTGGGGATACAAATCCAAAACCTGTCTTCAAGGCGCTTATATTCGCCTTGGTGGGAGCGATGGCCAGGGAAGGGAGGTTAGGAAGTCACCGAGACACACACATAGGACAGCCACAGAGTTCATGGATAAGCCATGTTCAGAAGCATTGCTGGTGACTGATCTCTGGTCCCAGCAAGGAATGGAAAGGGGAAGAGAGATGAAAGAGAGGGTTAGAGGAAAAGATGTAGAAGTGGAAGGGAAGGAGGAAGAGGAAAAGGAGAGATTAAATGGTAGGAAGAGGGCAAAACGGTGCATCAAGGAGGCACCAGGGAGGTAAGGGTGGGAAAGGTATGGGATGCCATGGGAGGTGAAGCATGGCTAGTGTCTGGGATGGCTACATAGAGAAGGTTCTGTGCCTTTGCACTGCCTGACTTACCACTGGCAGTTAGGTGTTTAATCTTAATTTATTTAATAAATGCTAAAGTATTTCTTAAATATTTAGAATAGTGTATAGTGGGAACAAAAGCTTGAGAATGTGACCTATGGCATCATGGTTATTGTAAACAGTAAAACTGCTTCCAAGGAAAAATGTTCATGTACCCACCCGTGTGACCACAGGCCATCTCTTGGTACTAACCTTTCTTTGTTCTGTTTCTATGTAATATCTGGCCTGGCTTAAGTGTGGCTGGGGATCCCCCGTTATGTCCTGCTGATGTGGTTTAGGGGTGCTGGGAACTCCAAAATATAAGGGTACAGGGTGGCGGCACCTGGAATGAATTCACACACTCAAACCATCTTCCAGTCAAATGGAAAAGTTTATTGTAAAGCCCATAAAGCAGTTGAAGTTCCTATGGAACCTGCAAACTAATGAGGATAGTGTTGATCCTTATATGCAAACAGGGTGGTGAAAGGAAGGTCCAGTAGGCTAAGTAGGTGATCTGGGTGGGATTAAGGAGTGGTCAGTATATGCAAGTAGTCTGGGCCATCATCCCATCACTGACAGCCAGTACAGGTCTTGGGAGTAAACTCCCCTAATAAACCTATACCTACATATTACCATGTTGGCATAGATTACTTCTTTCTTCCATATCTCAATAACTTGTCATTATGGTGGGACCATCATGGTCTGCCCTCTTACAAACAGGTGTTTAATAAATGTTAATTGATTAAAAAGGGGTAGGAGTTCCAAAACTGAGTAAATTAAATCACCCCAGTGCATAAGTTCAGAAGTCAATCGGTCTTAGGTTGTAACCTTTTTTAACCATCTGTTATGTGCTGGCATGGTATACCCATGTAAATTCTAGGGATACAAAGAAGGCAAAAGACAGTCCCTCCTCTCAAGGAGTTCAGAGGAAGTTAGGATTCAGTTATTCTGAATCTCGGTAGGGCCTCATCCAAACTCCATTCCTTACTTCTTCCCCTTCTCCATTTCTTATTCTTATCTCCCCAGACAAGTAACCCAGTAATGACAAATGTTAACTTGTTCTCAATTTTGGATGTGTCTAACAGAAAGATACACAAAAGGGAAAATATAGAACTGGACAAATTGCTGGAAAAACTAGAGCTAAATGATATGATACATTCTAAATGAGACTGCAAAAGAATATGTGTTTCTCAGCACCATGTGGAACTTTTATAAAAATCACCATGTATTAGGGCACAAAGATATTGCAAATAAGTGTAAAAAGGCAGAAATATAAATACATCCTTTATAGACCATAACAAAATAAAAATATTAATCATTTTAGGGACAGATAGTACAAAAAAGATTTTGTTGTTCAATCATGTCCAACTCTTTGTGACCCCATTTCAGGGTTTCCTCTGCAAAGATACTGGAGTAGTTTGCCATTTC